AATTTGGCTACAGTATAGCTAGAGTTGTACGTTTTGATATTTTTAAGTTTATCTAATTTCTTTTTTATTTTCATATATAATATTCGTCCAGCGTTATGTAATTAATAACTTTACACACCTGTTTATCTTTTCTTTACGAAGCAGGTTTATTTTACCTACATAAACCAAACCTTAACTGTTCACATCGTCATGCGTCACTAGTATATAGTTACTCTTTAACTTTGAATTTCAAACAAAGTAAAAAATAAATAATACAATGTCATATTGAATATCTGTAACTCATACTTAAGTCATGTATATAAACCCAAAAACAGTAATAGACCTAGAATTAAACCTCAGAGGACGCCCACTATGCAGTGGGCGTCCTCTGGTCAACAAATTCAATTTTAGCGGCAAAACTTAAGCTTTCTTAAGACAGGTTTTACATAAGCTTCACAGTAATTTTATTCAGATAGACAAAAATCCTAGTCATGTTGTGAAAAAATGTTTTTACACGTGACTTGGCGGAGTTTTTTATATTTCATATGCTTAGACAACTTGTTTGAAAATATGTCTGTAGAGTACATAAATTATACAAAGACGGGATGGCACCGTGCTACGCCGTTTCAATTATGTATATTTAATGACTGAGTTTTCTTGTCCGGGCTAAGACTTATTCTCAGATTAGTTAATAAAACTTTCTATGACTAGTAGCTTATACCTCGGTGTAGTTAAGCTTTACAGATGAACTTTAGCAGCAGTAGAGCTCCTTGTGAAAGAGTTCGTCCAGGGTAGTACTGCCACCTTAGAGGGGAAGGGTATTGGTGAAATAACAGGAGCATTATGGGAGTTGTTAACTTATGTTTCAGAGTGACGGGCGCAGTAGCCCTAGTGCCCCTCAGATCAAGAAAAGAAAAAAAAAGACAGAACTGCCGTAACAAAATATTATCTGTGTTTATAATTCGGTATTATGAAAACACAAATTTATTTATACATAAGGTACCTATTGACACATTCTTCACATTTGCCTATTTTGATTCTTTTCACAGAAGATGATCCAAATTCTGACGCAGTGAATGCAGCGAAAGCCCTCATCAAATGTGGTGTAGATGAAGGTCATCTGAAGTCAGACTACAAAGTGGTAGCACATCGCCAACTGGCATCTACCGAAAGCCCTGGAAGAAAACTGTACCAAGAGATCAGAAAGTGGCCGGATTGGGTAGAAGATGTTTCTTCTATTAAAAATTAATGTTTGGAATATATTTTAGGAGTTGAAATGTTCTTTATATTCTATAAATACGATTAAGTTTATGTAACTATACTACTTTAATAGTACACTTGTAACTCATATGTACACAATTAGTCGTATATTGTAAGGAACATACAACCTACAATAGTAAAAAGGAAAACACTTGTAGTTTATTGCGTAATATATAAAATATGATATCCGTAAAAGGAACAAACGTACGTAAAATATAATTCATGAAAAAGTTAGTACGATGCATTATTTTCCTCGGTGATCTTTGATATCCCTTGCCCCAATGCTGGGAACAGTTGTTGGGAAGGCCAACATATTGCATAAAAATTGATGTTGCAAAACGACAGTTTTCGGGTTGCATTATTCTGAAAAACACTCTGATTACATTTTGAAATGTAAATTTAAAAAAAATTACACTTTACGCGGTTACCTACGCTTATTGCATTTTTTGCGAATATTAAATTGAAACGTTTTCCATAAAAATGGCCGGACATAGTGGTTTGGTACAAAATATAAATAGCAGTATAGGTGTTTCTCATGAAAGAGTTCGTCCAGGGAATTACTACCACATTACCTATTTATGCCGCCAAGGAGTATTGTCAACATTACTGCGTTCCGGTTCTGAAGGGTAAGGGTGCTGTATGTGACAGGCGCAGTGGCAGTGCCCCTCAGATCTTTGCGATTTAAAGCGCTGAGTGGCACCGCAACTGTTATGGACAAACGTGTCGCTTACCACCAGGCGCACGACTTGTTCGTCACTTGGTATCATAAAATATGTATATTTGCAGCAGTGTTGTCAAAAACCTTGGCGTTTTATTTAATTCCACCCTGTCTTGATAATCTCATATCGCTGAGGTTAGTAGGAAGGTGTTTACTTGCAATAGCTGCTATTTGCTATACTGGAATATGCTGATCTTTACGTTGTTATTATGTATGTGTCATGAGAATCAAATGAACAAACTCCAGAGACTATGTGTCTACTGTGTGACATATCAGAAGATTTCAGTGGCCCCCGATCAATGTACGTCATGAGGAGCACGTTCTCAGCTTTCTCTATAAAGTATTCGATGATTGTCGCACTCTACTTAAGAAACGTTTTAATACCTTAAGGAACACTTTCGCTTCCTCAGTGGGGATCAAAAAGGTGAACTAAAGTCTAAAATTGTTAACCTATTGAAACCTTATTTTACCCGTCAGAGTAGAGTAGAAGGTTTCACAATTACGGAACGAACTCTTGTCTGAAATCTGACGTTGTAAGCCGCTTCCTATTTTCAAAATTGGATTGCATAAAATATTAATGTGCACTCATAGTCTGCAACATGTACATATATTTATTAGTATGTTTATATGCATGTACATAGATATATACTATGGTTATTTATTATTTAATGATAATATAATAAAAATAACGCACACGCTCAGAGCCTCGCACTAGGAAAACCCTGTATCGCGGGTGCCATGGACACACACACATAGACAACCACAAATTACACCGAAAATTACGAGAGAAGTAAATGTAGCAATACAAATATTTACAAGAGTCGAACTTGGGACCTCTGCATGGCCGATAAGCATGGTAACCTTTCGGCCACTGAGGCAGTTATAATAAAGGTTTTTATTTATGCATTTCTTTACCACTGGCATATTACGTCCCCCTCTCAGTTTAGTTTTCGTTTGCTTCAAATGTTATCTAGAAGATATCGCTCTTAGCGATAAGGCCGCCTTTACCCACTATACTTCTACCTTATCTATGTTTTGTTCTTATGTAAATCATAAAGTGTATATCGATATCTATCTGTCTAACATACCAGAATTATTCACATCACGCCTTGGAGGTGATCTCTCATATACAAATATTTTGGTACTTAAAATCTCTATATATAAAACACAGTCGCGTTAACACGCAACAACGCTTACATAAGATGTACCTCAATTCATGTTCGTTCATTGTGTTAGACAGGGGGAAAATGTATTTATGAGACTTATACGTGTTAGATAATCCCTAAACGCCCTGAACAGAGGTATCGATTCGGACAAACTTAAATAAAAATGAATTAAATTTTAGTGCAAGTCTTTCCGTTGTCAACAACAAAAGGGCAGAACATTTCGTAATAGAGTTTTCAAATTAGTCGACTCATATCTATTACATACTTTTATATACATATTTCTTGCACATGTAAACTCACCACGAGCAAATTTATAAAATACTGTAAAAATTTTTCAGCTTACAACTCAATTTACATATTCCGTCATGCCCTTACGGATAATTAAGGAGACGTAATAATCTAAAATTAAGCTAAATTTTCCTATGAGTGAATTGGCACCAGTGCATCCATCCAATTACTTTACACAGAGACCGGCAAAAGCTAAATGTTTACATGTTACCTAATCTGCCTTCTCAGAAAATGTTCTGTTTTTCGAATAATCGTATTTCGAGAGAATAAATAGTGTGTCAGTGTAGTGTAGTATATTTGAAAATGTTGGCCCAATGAAGTGATAAATAGGAGATAAAATGCTGTTTTCTGGTGGTCCCGCTAATTTGTTCCACTAGTGGGACCACGAGAGAGGCTTGTACGAGAGAGGCTTGTTTCTTGTGGTCCCACTGCTTTGTGTAGTAACAAAAGTGTACTCCTGTTTATGTAATACATATACTACCTCTTTCCATATATTAACTTATATTATTTATACTTTTTTATGTTTCTATTTTTTTCTCATGCTTTCATGTTGTTGAACCAGAGAACAAAAAAGTAACGAGAATGGACACTGTCCCTAGCTTTATACCACACCACGCCCCGCACATTGACGGTCACATTAACTGAACGGCAATAAGGCTGTCAGCGAGCCGTTTTCGCGCTATGACGGCTTTTGATATTTGAATATAGTTTTTATTTATACATTACGAAACGTGTACGTTAATATAATAACATCATTGTACGTTACTATTTGTAATGGTCGTGAATTGTGCTGTGAATGGCTATTTATCATCATCCAAACGGAATAAAGAGACGAGTTTCTTTCGTTTTCCGAAGCATGAAACGAAGTAAGTAAAATAAAAGATATATCTGAGACTCATTCAGTTATTGTTTTCTTCATTTATATATTTATATTAGTGCAGAGTAATATATACAGATTTATTATATCAATATAATGAGATGCCATGAGTTCGTGAATTAGTAGGTAGATAAGAGTTCTCAAATTTTCAATTTGTATTGCTGATAAATATGTACTGAATATAATTATTAACTAAGTAATGATAAAGTTGGACATGCAATTTCAAATACCTTGGTTACCTTATTTAAAAGTACCTACCCATAAAATAAATACCTAATGAACATGTGTAATTATTACGATTCTATTAATAGAATTATAGATAACAGATGCGCGTTATAATTTTCGTTATGCTGCCGCTGTGACCACGTAATAGTACGAGAAAGTGATGGGTAACTGTAGCACTTTACGCACACATTTGCGCGTGTGCAGATAGCGCCTTGCTGTATGTAGTAGTAGTAGGTAAATAACTTTCGACCGTTGTATGGCGTGTCCGGAGTGTGGATGAACACAAGCTTTTCAATTATTTGGGATAAAATACAACCGTACCGAGTAATTTATATCAAACCTGGAAATTCTCTGTACTTTAAGTGTCAGAGCAATTCATTCCGGAATACTACCCATCCAGACCAGAAACAATTTAGAAACTGTCACTTCGGTCGTACTAAAAATCGAGCTCCGGACCTCATCCAGCGCTCACGATGTTTTCATCGTACGGTTATCTGTGCTTTTCTTTTAGAGGAATAATTGCGAGTTTTTGAAAGATAGATGATTTCTCTATGTTATCCTTTTCGTCATACTAACGCATTTGCATTGGCGTAACTTTCGAGATTTATTGTCACCTAAAACAATGTCCATGCGAGTCTAGATTTTAGAAGGTGAGGTGTACGGGGTGGCCCCTCGCGTCTCGCAATCTGCGCTCTGCAAATTAATAAATCTAAAAAAATAAGAACAGTCAGAGAAAATTTGACACAGATCGACGTCGACAAGCGCCCGATGGCGACTGACGGGGCAGCGAGAGGCGCGGCGGCCGTCGTTAAGCCGCTGGGTAATTTGCAGATTTTGGGAAAATGTGAATTTAATAACTAAAACTTCACTTCAAACCCAAAATTTAGCTGTTTCTCTGTAGTACTTAACGAGAAATATCTTCATATGAAAATTATGTACAAAGTTTATACTTAAATAAAATAAAATAAAATCGTATTTATTTGACATGCAAAATACATTATAAAATACAAACAATTATAAAATATCAAATAATACGTTCATAAATAAAAAAAAAGAAATAGGAAAATATAATAAAAATATTAACCTTCCAGCGGTCGCGCGCGGTCTCAGAGATCGCAGCGACCTTATTTTAGTCATTTTACAAAATCTATAAACAATAAACGGTTGCGTGGCCGTGATATCCTCGAGGGGGTGAGGTAAAACCCCTTAGTAACCCGGTGACATTCGTCGCAAGCGCACATGTGACTTTATTTGTGTTAGCGGTCTCAGATTCCGCGCGCGACCGGTCGTGTTCCAGAAAAATTTATGGAATGAAATTGAAACCTGGGTGAGTATTTCATGTTATATGCACTATATTACTTACAAAATTACATTATTTTATTTAATATATATTAAATTATTTGTTATTTCACTATTTGTTGTAGACACAACATGAGTTACAAAGAATCCGGCTTGCAGAGGAGGTGGAAGCAGAAGATGAAGATTTTGATGAGGTCAAACCATTGCTACTGATAATGCGTAGGTCATCATACTACCTGCTTCTAAAAAAAGTTATAAGTTTTTTATTTTGTTTTCTTTTTTTTATGAGAATTGAGATAGTACGTAGAACATCATGAAAAAAACATTCGAAAATAATTGTGAATTTAGAGTTCCTACAATATTGTGCAATTGATGACAATATATTTTATTATTTTGTTGATTTTTTACTTTGTTTGTGTCATATGACTAAAATTTTGAATTTTTGTAGACTGTTCAACTAATAAGTACAAATTAAAAAAAAATGAGTAAATAATGTTTTTCATTTTCATTTCTATAGATAAAAGACTTTTTTATACTGTGCTACACAACGTAATGAAAATATTAATTTGCTTTCTCAAACTGAACTTCGGCGCAAGGGTGCGACCACTGGAAGGTTAAAACAAATAAGGAAACAAAGAAAAGCATGTCAAAGAGGTTCATAAAGCTCACCATTTGAGGACTATGCTAATTACATAGACCTCACTGATATTCTGCCATGGTCTATCATAGAAACAGAACACCACAATTAAAAAATAATAATTAAATTCAAATACTGACTCAATCAGACCGTAAATAAATTAAATTTGACACATACAACATTTACACATGAAAATAATAATCAGCTTGAATAATGAGAACAATAAATTTAAATTGCACAATACCAAATAGGGCGCACTATAAGTTTCCGGAACTGGCCACTTACATAAACAATATTAAAAAGTAAATACAACATTTAAAAATGGAACTCTTTGGCTGTAGAATTCAGTTTGTTTCATTTTACTGTCCCTTGTTTTTACATTGTGGCGTCATTTTTGAAATTGGTTGCCTACATCACCATGGATTAACTCGTGAAAATTTTCATAGTATGATTTTCTATGACCTTAAATGTAATTTAACAGCTCAGCGGAGCTTCGCTCGGCTTGAAACTGCTTTTGGCGATGAAGCACCACGACTAGCATGACGACTATTTAAAGCTGGTTTGCAGAATTCAAATGCGGTCGTGTAAATCTCAGTGACGAATTTCGTGATGGTCGCCCGTCCACTGCTGTGAACAACAAAAACATCGATGCTGTGCACCGTATCATCAAATCAGACAGGCATGTGCCATACCATGAGATTTGGGCATCTTTAAGCATAGGTATGAGTTAAATACAATCAATACTACACAAACATTTGGGTGTGAAAAAGCTGTGCTCTCGGTGGATCCCACACAATTTGACTGAGGCTCAAAAAACGGATCGCGTCACTTGGTGCAATGCCATGCTTACCAGATTCAACGAAGGGGCGTCAAATTTGGTGAGGGACATATCAACAGGTAACGAAACATGGATTTATAGTTACGATCCCAAAACAAAGCAACAAAAGAACGTATGGGTCTTTCGAGATGAACCGAAACCAACCAAAGTGGCGCGCGTGCAAAGTGCCTCTAAGCGGATGATCGCTTCCTTTTTAATAAAACTGGAGACGTGGCCACTGTTGCTTTGGAAAATTGTTGTACCGTAAATAGTGATTGGTACACGACCATTTGTTTGCCGGAAGTTATTGACAAACTCCGTAAAAATAACTGTAAACGCCGTATCTAGTGGTAGTAATAGTTTTCACACGGCCAGACAGATAAATTAATTTTTGAAGGTGAACAACGTTGACTTTGTGAGCCATCCCGCGTACAGTCCCGACCTGGCTTGTGACTTTTATTTATTTCCAAAAATTAAGAACCAGTTACGCGGTCAACGATTTTCATCACCTTAAGAGTCTGTCGAAGAGTATGCAAAATATGTTTCAGAGATTGTCACGAAGGAGTGGCATAAACGTTTTCAAAATTGGGTCATTCGTATGAAAAAGTGCATTAACGCTAACGGAGAATATTTTGAGAAAAATTAAATTCATTTCTGACCATGTATATTATTTTTTTGTTATTCATTCCGAAACTTATAGTGCGTTTGCGCCCCACGTACACGAATACACAAACAGCTATTGCGCAAAGCCCATGTCCCGAGATCGAACCATGAGTTTTAGATTTTTATTTTAGCCTGGTTTCAGGATTTTATATGATCGGATAAAGTACATCCTATCGTATAACTTATTAGCGTATTCTTTAGACAGTATCCTTAGGCTTATCATATAGTTTTTTGTAAGACCGTTATACTTCAATTTCATTTAGCAAAACACTTTTTCCCGCTTCTCTTCCGTTGACTTGCATCAAGCTGATTTTGCTAATCAATAAAATTGAAACTAAATAAGAAATTAAAAAACCGATTAGAGGTTGTTGAAGGTCTCGTTTCGTTGGTCCCATAGGTATATGGTAATAACTTAATTTCGCTAAAACTGTTCATTACCTTAGTTATGACAGAGAACAAAAAAGTAACGAGGACGGACATTCTCCGCCCCTCCCTAGCTTTAGACACCGCGTCTCGCCCCGCACATTGACGGTCAGATTGACTGAACGGCAACAAGGCTGTCGGCGAGTCGTTTTCGGGCTAAGACGGCGTTGACATTTTAATGTTGTTTTCATTTATTCATTACGAAACTTGTACGTTAAAGTATAACATCATTGTATGTTACTATTTATTAATGATCGTCCATTGTGCTGTGAACGGCTGTTTATTGTAATCTAGCGGGACAAAGAGAGAAGTTTCTTTCATCTGAGACTCATTCAGTTATTGTTTTCTTCATTTATTCAGTGCTGAGTAATATATAACACATAGGAAGTGAATTTTTTTTTATTTTACGGGCCCTTTACAGGACGTCGGTTTGTTTGAAAAAACAAATATACGCAATCTAAATCCGGAAAAATAGTTTCATTTCCTATGTGTAACAATCGCGAAAACCTAACTCGAAATATATAATACAGATTTGTTATATCTCAATTAGATGTGATACAGTAGACAAAAGTTCTCGAATTTTCAATTTGTATTGCTGCTAAATACATAGTGAATGTAATTATTAACAAGTACCTAATGATAAAGTTGAAAACGCAATTTTAGATACCTTGGTTACCTTAATTAAAAGTACCTGTCCAAAATGTGACATTTTACACGCTTTAAAAATTTAAAAAAATATAAACCTAAGGATTATTCTAGTTAGTGAATTATTGAAAAATATAATATTATATTTACATAAATACCTAATGAACATGTGTAATTATTACTCTGACCACGTACGAGAAAGTGATAGGTAATCCTGCCACTTCGCACACACACTTGCGCTTGTGCTGATAGCGCCTTGCTGTATGTAGTAGTAGTAGGTAAATAACTTTTGACCATTGTATGGAGTACCCGGGGTGCGGTTATGATTTATGGTTTCATGGATTGTTTTGTAGGTATGATTCCACTAATTGCCCTGAGAAAACGCAGCATCCCTTGTATTTTCTTTTATGTTGGTGTATTCCTCGAAATTGTCTGTGGTACTAGTTGTTTTGAACACAGACGTGAAAATAGTTTCTTTATAGTAATGTTGCAACTGTATTGCGTATTAAAGGTGTGTTTGGAAATATTACTAGACTACGACGAAGTAATCAATTCGACTACTTCGTTGATTATATTAACATCAACGGTTGTATTGTCAGCAGACAGCATTTCTTTAAAAGGGGAAGGTTCAAATGCAATTTGTCTTCGTAACTCTTTATTCCTCTTACTGGTTATAACGATAATATTGTAATAAATTATAAAAAACCGTCTTAAATAAGAATTTATTGAGAGTTTTAACATGATTTCCGACAATTTAAAAAAGGGCAATGAATAATGACTAACCAAGATGGAACATGATTCTTGAGTAAATGAAGTGGCAATATATCTATTATTCATTGTTTTCTTGTAATTGGAGGCGCACTTCGTACTGGGAACGGTACCATATCCACCAGCCAAGAGCGTGTCGGGTCGCTGCTGACACTATCCAGCAATAGTAACAAACCTGTGCAAAAAGAAAAAGAAAATAATTCTACCATAATGATTAAGTCGCGTTTTGAGCAAGAATGTATAAAAAATACAATAAACATATTCCTTCAGACGGGTAACGCGGCATCTGCGGCAGAATTGGAAAGCAATTTTTTTTTATAATGTCAAGTGACTGGACAAACAAGTCATGCGCCTGATACGAAGCTACATGCCTGCCCATAACAGTCGTTGTGCCACTCAGAGCTTTAAATCGCAAAGATCTGAGGGGACTGCCACTGCGCCCGTCACCCTGAGACATAAGTTGACAAGTCCCATGTGCCTGTAATTTCACCACCCTTACTCTTAAACTACCGGAACATAGTTACACTGACATTACTGTTTGGCAGCAGAAATAGGTAAGGTGGCAGTACTACTCTGAACGAACTCTCATCACGAAAAGCTTTATAATTACTAATAATTGTAGAAACAACAAGCTGTTTATATTTAAAACTGTAACCTGTCTTTATGTTTCGTCGTAGAATAGTGAGCTCCAAATATGTTCACATTCTTCACAGACAGAACGAACAAGTTGTGTGCCTGCGCGCGATTAGCGACACGCCTGTCTATAGCAGTTGCAGCACCAATCTTAGGAGCACCGCCACTGCGCCCGTTACCCTGATACCGTTGACAATTCCTATGCGCCTGTGATTTCACACACATTTACCCTTCAAAACTGGAACGCAGTAATTCACACTACCGCTTGATGGCAGAATATAGAAATAAAATATGTTTATACATAATTAAATTTTTATTGAATTGATATTCAATTATTTTTTTGTGAAATTAGTCCACTAGTTTGTTATAATTATTAATACAAAGATCGAACACTCACAAAAAACACTCATAAAAAATTCCTTCGATCCGGTCGGATTCGAACCGACGTCTTCTTGCATACCGTGTCAGACGCTATACCAACTAAGCCACGGAACGAACCAACAGACCTCACGAATTTTTTTTTTAATACAAAAAAAAAAAGAAAATCGTGAGGTCCGTTGGTTTCTTTCCGTGAATCGAACCCGGGACTTCTGTGTGGAAGTCCAGCATAGTAACCATTCAGCCTCTAAGGCAGCTAAATATAACGAAGTCTGAGGAGACAGTGGAGTACATCAGACATTTAGCCAAATACACTCTGAGGAACGAGCGGTTGGAGTCCCGCCACAATGTGAATTTCAATTCGATACGGTGAGAGTACCGACCAAACATCTGTTGACCTTCATGGAGGAAGAATTTTGGCCGAAGGGTGTCATATATCGGCGATTCCACGGCCGGTTACCTAGCACCAGATTGCGCCACACGTCGCTGACAAGTGCACTACATGTAGATTAGTTATTTTGTTTATTTTATTGTTATATTATATTGTAGGTATGTTTCCTTAAGGTATATATTATACGAGTCTTATGCCCCACCTACGGTGGGGTCGGGCACAGCCTGCGGCGCGTGGTCGCTTTCAGATTACGGGGTGTGCTTATGCTCTTCGGTAGCACAGTGATTAGTACTATGGGCGCTTGATGAGGAGGTTCCAGATTCTTATTTTAGCCAATTTATGAAAAAAACATTTTTAAGTTGGCCTTGGTCAGCGCCTGGTCATTCTGGGTATTGCCTTCAGAATTATCGTTACTCTGGTACTTATAGTACAGGAAATTCCTTACTTTGGAACCAAAATTTTGAAGTGGTTGTCGGGCATTTTTTCCCTAAATACTTCTCTTTTTGGCATAGCTTCCAATAAAAAAGAATCTAACAGAGAGACGGTCGAGATACAACAACGCTATAAGTTGTATAAAGATATTATTTCCAGTTCTTAGTTTTTCGCGATTGTCACACATAGGAAATGAAACTGATTTTCCGGATTTAAATCGCGTATATTTGTTTTTTCAAATACTGTACCACCTCAGTCAATCGTGACCATGGGACCTTTAAACGGCCCGAAACGTCGGTTTGTTTGAAAAAACAAGTACAGTTTCATTTCCTATATTATTTCCACTACATCGGGAAGTATGCCTTACATTTTGAACAATTGTGAAATCTAGTCCCCGTATACTACCTACGTAAGGTGGCGTGCGGACGCTTAGGGCTTCGCCCTCCGCTACACCTCGGCCTACGGCCTCGGCACTTGACTTTAAAAAAATTAACATAGCTCTTTAATGGCGGCCATATTGATAAATGGCAAAAAGTAAATTTTGATTGTAAATTATTGTTAAACACCCATAAAGGTCCCCACATCCCGACTTTCAGCTGAAATAGAGCAAATTTCCATGTGCCGCCAAAAAGTTTGTATGACAGACATATTGAAAAATGGCGAAAAACCAAAATTTTGATCACAAATTATTATCTATTTCTACTGGCATTCACATGCCAATTTTCAGTCGAACCAGAGCAATTCTCTTTCGGCAGCTATTTTTAACAAAAAAAAAACACTTGTAGGCACTATTAGGCAGCCATATTAAAAAATTGCGAATAGAAATTTTTGACCCCAAATTATGATTAAGGACTCCTAAAGACCCTCGGATGCCAATTTTCAGCCGGATTGAAGCAAGTTTTTCTCCGGCCGCCATTTTGAAATCGCCATCTTGAATCTTTTTTTAACCCAGGCAGTTGACCAGTGTTACCCTCCATGACATTCCTTCGACCACTTCCTACCTATCTCTAATAGATTCGGTGATAGGAGGCTTTGAAATTTGTATGGCGGCCATCTTGTTTATTTGAATTTCGAACATTTTTTACTTCCCGCGGAAATTGACCAGGTTGTGTCTCATAAAAATGTACAAAAATCCCCCTCATGTATTATAGTTTTTGCAGGCCGTTGATCACTCGTTTACATTTTCCACATTCAGGTCCGCCTACAACTGTATAAATATCTTTTATCCACCATATCGGGAAGTATGCGTTCTATTTTTCTAAGTGAGTCTAAACTTGTAGCTTTATATATATATGTGTATATATAATGGGTCATGTGGCCTGAAATAGATGTCAAAATAAAAAAAAATAAATAAATAAAAATAGACAAATATTGAGTCGACTTGGTATATAGTCAAATAAAAAATAGTCCAAAATAGGCGACTTGACGTCGAGTTGCGGACACTAGGCACTTACACCTTATCATACCATCTTTATGGTTCCGATCAATACCGTTAATCTGACTACGTGGTTCTGACTAAGCCAAATATATGTATAATCATGGCGTCTGAGTAAGCAAGTGTGTAGTGAATATATTCACTATTAAGATTGTAATCTTAAGCTCCTTTTCCATAGGTTATCCTGTTTCTAAAATATCCGAGGGATGGTGAAATTACAAATTTAGCATAAATCTATCGATCACGGAACCACTCGCTATTGTCCGCCCAAATTCAATAAGGATAAGAACCTAATAATTTATTACTGCTATTACCAGTCCACTTCCATTCACATATCCGATAAATGACTGAAAGGATAACACTGGGATGGTATCGTCTACGTCTCGGATTGAGCAATTATATTTCACAAAATCGAATTGTTTCAAGTAAGGAATCAAGTTCAAAGTCGAATTGTTTCAAGTAACGATGCGAGTGGTTTCTTTCTTTGTTGGTTTTATTTGCCTGCACATTCAGCCGTCTAGAGGAAAGAGAGGGAGGCAGACACCCACGCACTATCACACACGCGGACATACACAAACATATACACGACCATTTATTTTAGTCATTTACAGTTAGTTATGAATTCTGTTTTCATAGTTTTAGTTCACATTTACTTTTCTACACAATATCCTAACCATAATATCACTATATTATATGTATATTTTGTATACGTCGTAAATTTCTGTAATTGGCTTTTGTACTGCCTATAACACATTTGTAAGATAAGTATAAAAATGCCGTAGAAACTTTGTTCTGTAAAAAATAAAATAATTAAGGATTGCAACCCGAAATGCAACCAAATGCATTATCACCATAACCATCACCAAACAAGTTACATTAACCTTTAACAAAATTTTGTTTATTTCAATAACTTTTTGTTTCAATATAGTTATTTTAATGAATATAATTTTAGTTTTACTAAAATTACTTATGATATTCATATATTTTTTATGAAAATACTCCACCAGTTTGTTGTTATTATTGATACAAAGATAGAACAACACAAGAAAAATTCCTTAGATCTGAGAGGACTCGAACTTCATATTCACTCGAAACTGTCATACCGGCGTGCCAGCTACCAAGAGTGTGCATTTTGGGGTATACTCACAAGTGTCATGCAAGCCAACACAAAGGTGGAAGCTAGTGGCCAAGGAGTCACGTGGATATCCTGGGTCATCAGACCTGCTAACGTACGGCCTGATAACCAAGCTGCCAGCACCGCGAGAGGAGACATCAACATTATGCCCAAGCTATCCACCATCAGCTGGAAAAATTATATGAAGTACAAGAATTCCTATTCTTCATAATCTTATATAAATGGTATTATGTGATGTATTCTGGTTGCGACAATTTAATTTCTATTTTTTAATTCGTAATTCTAAAATGTGACAAGAATTATAAGATAAATGTAGCAATTGTAAGTTTTATTTCTGATCTTTGACTTTTAGTGAATATTTATGTATGCATGTTTAAAATCATTAAAGAACTTTCATACCTAAGACTTTATACGCAATGGGCTTTATGCTCTAAACTAATTAAAATGATTATATTTATACTTCAACAGTGAAGTACGTGACGATATTAACTCAATTTTCTTGAATAGCAACGGTGAAATTTGTTGCATACTTCAGCATTCTTTGCATAGTGTCAATAAGCTTAAAAATAAAATAGAAGTAAATTACACGGATCTCCTTGGAGCAGAGGGGAGGTTTCATCACGATGTTTTTTTAACAACTAAATCTACTGATAGTTAGCATTCTCAACAGCACATTATTTGAAAGGAGTCAACGGTGACGGCTCACTAACGGGGACTCAAATGAAGTAAGTGTTCTCCTAACTATACTCTTGTCGAATTCGAAGTAGAATAAATGCCAATAAACAAGAAAATATGATTTTGTGGTTTTCACCTCACATAGTTTCACAGTAACCACATTCTCAATGTTTTCCCCGAAATTCGATTAGGCTATTGATAGCTGTCTATGCTAAATTTGTTCAATAGCATTAAGTAAGTTTCAAACCACTAGTAAGTGATTTAGAAGTAACATAATAATTACCACTAATTCGTAATTTATAAAACTGTGTCATGTTTAATGATTTTTTATGTGGATTGCAAACATCCCACATCATGATTATCAATAATTACAGTGGTATGAGTTTTTTGTTTTCCTGATATTTCGGAACGACCCCACGCCAAGCCCGTGATCATATAACCTTTACAAAATATCGTGAAAACAAAAAGAAATCATACCGTGGCTTACCACGGTACCACTTAATCTTTAATTAGTAGTAATAATTTAGTGTATAACCACGAAAGCTTGTCCGTAACAGTTGCAGTGCCACTGAGAACTTTAAATCGAAACATCTGAGGGGTACTGCCACTGCGCCCGTCACCCTGAGACATAAGTTGGCAAGTCCCATGTGCCCGTAATTACACCAGCACCCTTACCCTTTAAAACCGGACTGTAGTAATGCTCACATTACCGGTTAGCGGCAGTAATAGGTAAGGTACTTCTCTGGACGAACAAATTCACAAGGTGCTCTACTGCTACTAAAATATTATATAAAAGATAAAATAAGCTACATGTTCACTATAAGTACTAAATATGTAGCTAATGTAATAAGTTATCTTTAAGGTACGCAAATTATAGTTTTGAATACAGAAAATGAAGTGAATAACGATCTAGATCCGGAAAAAAGTTGAATTTCCGATGAGTAGTGACTGTTTGAATTTCCAACTGACAAAAAGACAACTTGACTTTATTCTGTTTATCCCACTAGTGCTGCGGACATTCTATTAACTTTCAAGTTTTTAAAGAAAATTGTAACAAGAATAATTGCTCTTCTTATTCTATATATTGTATATAATAAACACTATGTTCGTCAAAGTTTTAACGTATTTACATGTGTTTATTTCATTATTGATTATGAAATTTTTATTTGTTCCGGTAACAAACCCGTCATTTTAAACTTTATAAACAGCTAAGACCCTATAAACGAAGCTGTCCTTCAGTAGAATATTACAATTATTATTTTGAGTTAACGTATAATATTTCATCAGCGTTACAACGCTCTACTACTTCTTACAACGTGACTTCATTGCGATACTCGTTCAATTAACATACCATTGTAGCGTTATGAATACCAAACAATCAGTCTCAATCAACAATACAGATATTAGTTACAACAGGAAAATAAATTTACCTGTTTAGCATTTTGACTGAGGATCCACATAACCAAAGCTCTTGGAACACCGTATCTGTGTACTCTTCTAGTCACGTAGCGAGTGCCGCACAATTCACATCTCGACTTCCCAGATTCAGTTAGCCACCTTTCTAGACACTTCACATGAACGCGACCGACTGTACCGCGGCAAGAACAAGCTGATACTAACTGCCCGAGATCCGGAGACAATGCCTCCCCACCATGGCAAATTCTACACATATGGTCCATCGAGTGGTTACTCACTCTCTCCTCTCCAGTCGGTTCAGTATTAGACACGTTCACATGATCTATATACACCTCCAATTCCTGGTCAAAATCTATCGGATTTGTTCCTTGAGAAACTTTGTTTTCCTCTGTCTCAGTTTTAAGATGTTCGGCAATTATCATACGACGTTTGGGGCTCCTAACTTTTACTCGGTGATGACGAGGATGTTTTTCTCTACGAGGTACATCGGAAACAGTTTGTTTCGGATCTTTGCGTGAATCTGCAGTATCTCGTGCTTCACTTGCAACACTTGTTTCTACAACATCTCTTGTATCACTTGTTTCAACAGCACTTATCATGGCGTACAGATCTATGTTGCTGGAACTGGCTCCTACGTTTTTATCCTGGTTAATAGAGACATTTTTAAAAAGTGATATTGAGCTATCACACTCAGCGACCATTTCAAGAGGAGTTAGTTTACTTATGGTTGGATTGATCTTGTTTTTAATTTTATTTGATTTTGCAGCTAGGTTTAAGGTTTGAACTGCCATTTCCAGTTCAACGTCAGCATCGGAACGACTGCAAAATGATTAATTTAGTAAGTTAGATGATGGAGATTCAACGACTGAGGTACATAAAAACAGTATTTGATCAATTTTCAATTATTTTTAATTAAATTATTATTCTTATTATATTAGCTCCGTATGGGGCTTTTGATAATTTTTTACCTGGATTGCTGGCCATTTTGGATTTTATTTTGGTTCCGTCCAGCAATATCTCGTTGAACGGAAAATCGACGTCGTCTGGTATTTGGCATATTTTCACAAAAATTTTAATTTTTTTTATTATTTTACTAAAATTTAATGGAAATTTGTTCCTGCTTTCATTTTCATTTTTGTTGACAGTGATTTGTTATTTTTTCGTTTATATCAATCTTTGCAATCAGCTTTTATTCTATTTCAAAGAGAATATAATCACTTACGTTGCATTCTCCTTTGGTATTTTATGTTTTAATTATTTTTTTACGCCTTTCAGTGGTTCTTTTACAACCAAAATCGCCGACCGAAATTCAGCGGTGTAATTTGCGGCATTTTCAATGTCTTCCAACCAGAAATTGCTCTAAGCTGTATCACTGTTTGAACAACGGTTTCTGCAGATTCAGTGATATTCTCGTTTATTATTTATGGTTTTAACACTATGTTTGATTGTTATCAATGATAACATCATTGACCGATGTATAAGCCTACAAAAAAACTGCCTTAAAACGGTTTTCATCACATTAGTTTAAATTAAAATGTGTGTGAAAAAAATATGGAAGAGATTTCTTTTCCTTTTAAGGTATCGGTCGTGATTTCGTAATAATCCGCTTGATTAAAGCTTCTCAAAAGTTAATCAAATGCCGTAATAGCAGCGATAAGGATATTGGCGATCGTAGAAAAACAATGTAATATTTTACTCATACCCAAGCTTAAAATATAAACAATTTACGTTAATATAAAAATATAAAATATAAAAATTTAATATAAAATATAAAAACTCATATGGAGGCGATTTTCGAATAAAAATGTGTAGTCAGATGTGCCGTTGTCCGTACATTGAAAACATTATTTTTACCAAAACATAAACAACCACCAGCGTCCGTTGTATTACTCTTTTTTTTAAAATACTGTGATCATCAATTTTCTAACATGTAGTAACTAAATATCTAAATTATGTTTTGTGTCAATGACGTATCGGTTAAAAACTGTAATTTAAGAAAAAATGGATAAATTCAATGCTAAAATATTTTTTAAATTAATTTTCAAAACATCGAAAATGACCCTTACGTGTGTGTGACCACACCGTCTTAGCAAGGGAAACCTGTATTTTATACTTAGAGGATGGAAAAAAAATAAAAGAAATTTTATATGTCACGAGAATTACGTAAAAACAAATTCTAATGGTAACTGTTAATACTTCTATTAACATTATACATTTTAGTTTAGGTAAGATGCCGCTAGATGGCGTTGAACCTTTTATGCAATTTTCTAAAACGCGCTATTGAGTTGTTCACGGAAACTGTATATAAAATATAAATATAAAAACGTGTTATTGGAATATACAGGCTGTTTCATTTTGGGTATTTTTGGGACGCTATACCCATGTATACGTATTAAACCGGCAACTCGAAGGACCATTCCCTCGAGTTGCCGGTTTAATACGGTGCGAAGTAGAACTTGTACATCGTCCATCCCGGCGCCAAAGGAGCAACGGATTGTTGCCAAAGGTGCTTTGGCCTACGGCAACGGGAGGCGGAAGAAAACGTCGTCACCGCTGTGACAACATAGACAGAGCTACGGCGCAAGGGGTGCACACCTGAGTCATCTACCGGACGAGACGGAAGCAGCGCGGGGAGGAAGAGCCCCGGGCTGAGGAGTCATTTGGTTGTGCGCGTGAGTTAAAGTGTCAAGAAAACCGTGAGTACAATTTGAATCTTATCTATCGAGTGCATTAGTGAAGTGAAATAAGTTAAAAAATTTTCAAGTGTTTTGGACTTAGAATAGTTTGCAAAAAAGTGAACCGACGGGGAATCCATGCCCGTTTTCGGAGCAAGTAAACTTTGCCAAACACTTAGAAAAATTGACATCATCGGACTTGTGATATTTGTCAGTACTGTACGAGACTCGGTGTAAATTGGGACAGTTATCCAACTCTTAGAATATTTATGTGAATTCTTGTCAGTTTATACTTGTGTTTTGTTCACGTGGAAAGTTATTGTACTCAGTTTGGACCAAATTGTAAAATAGTAAATAAGTAGTCTAAATAAGTAATTATATCTTTACCTCTGTCTTTAATTAATAGTAATCATGGCTGAAAATTACACTAAGATTCAGGAAGACATTGCTACGAAAATATTTAAATCTAAATCAAATTTCAAAAAATCGCCAAAGGATAGACTAACTTTATCTTATATCGAAACTCGTTTGGAAACTTTAGAACGGCAGTGGAATGAATTCATTAGTAATCATCGAAAAATTGTATATGAGATAAGGCGAGAAGAACTAGAAAAAACTAGTTATTACATATCTGATGTTTACGATAAAACCGAAGAGATATATATCGAGTACAAATCGCTATTAAAAGACACATTGTTAAACCTGAAACCTAGTCTCAATCCAGACAAAGGGGATGAGAAGAAGGGTGGTGAACAAACTGCAGTAAAGCTGCCTAAGATCTCAGTGCCGAAATTCTCAGGCAAATATTCAGAATGGGTCAGTTTTCGTGACTTGTTTACCTCCCTTATTCATAACAATCCCAATGTAGATGATGTTCAGAAATTACATTACCTGAAAAGGTGTAAGTGAAAGTGTAATTGGTGAGGCAGAACAATTACTTCGACACATACCGGTTACTTCTGACAATTATAAGGTTTGTTGGGCACAGTTGGAGAGTCGTTACAATAACAAAAGGTATTTAGCTAACAATATTTTGAAAAAGTTGACTTCTTAAAAGGTCCTGGTATCTGAGTCAGCTAGTGCTATCAAACAATTGTTGGGCACTACCAAGGAATGCCTACATGCATTAAAAGGTATCGGGGTAAACGTTAGTAGTTGGGACATTATTATAATACACCTCATTAGTCAAAAATTAGATCCAGAATCCCGTAAACAATGGGAGCAGAAAATTAGTGATTCCAACAGTGATTTACCTAATTTTAATCAATTTGAAGAATTTTTACAAGGTAGGTTTAGATCGTTGGAATATCTGGATACAAGGGTTCAAAAAATTGAAAAGACCAATTGTGCTCATGTTGTGACTACAATCATAACTTGCAGTGTTTGTACGGAAAATCACAAATTATATAATTGTAAGAAATTTGCAAAGGAAAATACTGACACGCGACGTAATTTCGTCCAAACGCACCATTTATGCTTCAACTGTCTCGGTTTAGATCATTCGGTATACCAGTGGACAATATCTACAAGGTGTCGTCTTTGTAAGAAAAAGCACCACAATCTACTTCATCCTAAAATTCCTAAATCAGTTCATGACATAAAGACTGATCAGCCTGTTGATAATAAGGTTGCGGCTAAGTCAACCCCACCGCAGGCTCATATTGAGTCTCCAATACCCCAAGTAGTTACTACTTGTTTTTCTAATACAATTGAACAAGTCTTATTGGCTACTGCTTTAGTAAAAGTAGTGTCACCCAAAACGAATTCTGCATTCGTTTTAAGATCGCTGCTTGATCAGGGATCTCAGGTTTCGTTTATTACGGAATCGGCTGTACAATTGCTGGGTCTCAAAAAGATACCAGGGACCAGTATAGTATCAGGTTTAGGCGACGACCAATCGACTTTAGCTTCAAAGTCGTCGGTAGTTATAAAAATTCAGTCCCGTCTTGATCCAAGCATTTCTATTACGGTTGAGGCTCATGTTTTAAGTAAACTGACAACTTTTCTACCAAGTAGTAAGGTTTTTGTTCAAGCTTTACCAGCACCCCCGTCCATGGAATTAGCTGATCCATCGTTTGACACACCCAACAGAATAGATATTCTTTAGGTGCTCAGGTATATAGCCAGATCTTGTTGGAAGGTTTCATCAGAGGTTCTTCCGGCTCTGTCGTTGCACAACACACAAGACTCGGTTGGATCTTATCTGGTAAAATATACAGCGAAAATAAAGAAATCAACCATGGCGAGACGTGTCTCAATGTAGTAAACCTACATTTAACTCCATCAAAAGAGAACGCGCTTCTCAAAAAGTTTTGGGAGCTAGAGTCCGAACCATCCTTTGATAGGACTGAACACTTAACTCTAGAAGAGAAAAGGTGTGAGGAACTTTTTGTTAAAACTACTAGACGCGATGAGTCTGGTAGGTACATCGTCAAACTACCCTTCAAAACGGAAAATCCACTTTGTCTACACGGTAATCTAAAGAATATCGCGCACAAGCGTTTTCTCATGTTAGAAAGACCTTTGTTGAGAAAACCCAATCTCAAAACTGAGTATTCCAAGGTCTTGGAGGAGTACCTCAGTTCGGGCCATGCAGAAGTAGTAAAACCAAGTGAAGTGGTCAAAAAAGGAGTAGTATATCTACCACACCACGCCGTGGTTCGTCAAGATAAGTCTACTACAAAGGTTCGCATGGTGGTTGACGCGTCATGCACCGATTCTAATGGAATATCACTGAATAGTGAATTAATGGCGGGTCCTACTCTCCAACCAGAATTGCGACATTTGATAATGCGATGGCGGTGCTACCCGATCGCTCTTGTAGCCGACATTGTTAAAATGTAGCGCCAGATAAAGGTGGCTGATGAAGACGTAAATTTTCAACGTATATTTTGGCGTGAAAATCTAGATGTCGCATTACAATATCTTCGTTTCTTGCGAGTAACTTTTGGTACTTCCTCAGCCCCATTCCTTGCTGTTCGGTGTCTCCAGCAGCTAGTCAACGACGAGGGTTCTGAATTCCCATTAGCGGTCTCTAGAGTCCTTAATGAATTTTATATGGATGACTTGATGACCGGCTGTCATTCCATAGCTGAAGGATTAGAAATTTACGAGCAAATTACTGCTTTGTTGAATCGTGGAGGATTTCCACTTCAGAAGTGGTCAAGTAATAGCAAGGACTTACTGAAGGTAATCAAAATGGAGGCAGATGATGTAAACCAGAATTTGGAACTAAAGACCGACGACGTTATAAAGATTCTCGGTCTGAAATGGAATAGAGAAGCTGACGAATTTTGTTTTACGGTCGATCTGCCTCCTTTGCAAGCTCCTGTAACAAAACGAAAGATGATCTCTGATATTGCTCGTCTCTACGATCCTTTGGGGTGGA